GAGCACAAGAAATCGCCAAGTCAACTGTTTCAACTACAAAATAAAGTGATTGGAAATTGGTAATTTGGCCAATTTAACACAAAGTTCAAAATATTCCAATTTCAAAATAGGGTCCAGAATAAACAATGTAGGTATTCCTGGCACTAAACTAAGATTTCCTCTGATCATTAGTTATGTTTTGAGGCTTTACAAATGAATTCCATTTTGATTTTTTATTCACATAATAAATTTTTATTCAAACCAAAAAATAGAAGATTTACTGTTATGCAATATTGCAATAATTGTATAAATACCATCACCACATTTGTGAATGTATATCAGACCCACCAGCTGGCGTGTATTACACATGTGAGGTCGTTTGTTTACTCTAGAACATCGGCAAAAATTTAACATTTCCAGTATTTTGAGCTCAGTTTCAAGCCATTTCCATGACTAAAACCAATCAAAATTATCTCTACTTCTGTAATATATCTTCCATTCTATCAAATGAGACCAAGAAATTGCAAATATACCTATAAAAAACATAGGAAAAAACACTGCAAAATCGGTTTTAATCGAAAATCACGGTCTCAGTTTTTTTTTCTCTCATTATACACTGTGTGCTGTAGGATTTGTTATTTGTGGTGCACACATACCACATAGATTATCAGACTGAGCTGAGCTCATGGCGTAGATCTACGGTTTGGACCCTGAACGTAAAGCCGTAGATCTATGGCACAGACCCTGAAAGAGTTAAGATCTACATTATTTAGTTTATATGTGGCATGGTTATTTTCCTGTCCAAAATTTAGAATTTTATTTTATTTTTATTATCACACTGGCCGATTCCCACCAAGGCAGGGTGGCCCGAAAAAGAAAAACTTTCACCATCATTCACTCCATCACTGTCTTGCCAGAAGGGTGCTTTACACTACAGTTTTTAAACTGCAACATTAACACCCCTCCTTCAGAGTGCAGGCACTGTACTTCCCATCTCCAGGACTCAAGTCCGGCCTGCCGGTTTCCCTGAACCCCTTCATAAATATTACTTTGCTCACACTCCAACAGCAAGTCAAGTATTAAAAACCATTTGTCTCCATTCACTCCTATCAAACACGCTCACGCATGCCTGCTGGAAGTCCAAGCCCCTCGCACACAAAACCTCCTTTACCCCCTCCCTCCAACCTTTCCTAGGCCGACCCCTACCCCGCCTTCCTTCCACTACAGACTAATACACTCTTGAAGTCACTCTGTTTCGCTCCATTCTCTCTACATGTCTGAACCACCTCAACAATCCTTCCTCAGCCCTCTGGACAACAGTTTTGGTAATCCCTCACCTCCTCCTAACTTCCAAACTACGAATTCTCTGCATTATATTCACACCACACATGATATCTCCACTGCCTCCAGCCTTCTCCTCGCTGCAACATTCATCACCCATGCTTCACACCCATATAAGAGCATTGGTAAAACTATACTCTCATACATTCTCCTCTTTGCCTCCAAGGACAAAGTTCTTTGTCTCCACAGACTCCTAAGTGCACCATTCACCCTTTTCCCCTCATCAATTCTATGATTCACCTCATCTTTCATAGACCCATCTGCTGACACGTCCACTCCCAAATATCTGAATACATTCACCTCCTCCATGCTCTCTCCCTCCAATCTGATATCCAATCTTTCATCACCTAATCTTTTTGTTATCCTCATAACCTTACTCTTTCCTGTATTCACTTTTAATTTTCTTCTTTTGCACACCCTACTAAATTCATCCACCAATCTCTGCAACTTCTCTTCAGAATCTCCCAAGAGCACAGTGTCATCAGCAAAGAGCAACTGTGACAACTCACACTTTATGTGTGATTCTTTATCTTTTAACTCCACGCCTTTTGCCAAGACCCTCGCATTTACTTCTCTTACAACCCCATCTATAAATATATTAAACAACCATGGTGACATCACACATCCTTGTCTAAGGCCTACTTTTACTGGGAAATAATTTCCCTCTTTCCTACATACTCTAACTTGAGCCTCACTATCCTCGTAAAAACTCTTCACTGCTTTCAGTAACCTACCTCCTACACCATACACCTGCAACATCTGCCACATTGCCCCCCTATCCACCCTGTCATACACCTTTTCCAAATCCATAAATGCCACAAAGACCTCTTTAGCCTTATCTAAATACTGTTCACTTATATGTTTCACTGTAAACACCTGGTCCACACACCCCCTACCTTTCCTAAAGCCTCCTTGTTCATCTGCTATCCTATTCTCCGTCTTACTCTTAATTCTTTCAATAATAACTCTACCATGCACTTTACCAGATATACTCAACAGACTTATCCCCCTATAATTTTGCACTCTCATTTGTCCCTTTGCCTTTATACAAAGGAACTATGCATGCTCTCTGCCAATCCCTAGGTACCTTACCCTCTTTCATACATTTATTAAATAATTGCACCAACCACTCCAAAACTATATCCCCACCTGCTTTTAACATTTCTATCTTTATCCCATCAATCCCGGCTGCCTTACCCCCTTTCATTTTACCTACTGCCTCATGAACTTCCCCCACACTCACAACTGGCTCTTCCTCACTCCTACAAGATATTATTCCTCCTTACCCTATACACGAAATCACAGCTTCCCTATCTTTATCAACATTTAACAATTCCTCAAAATATTCCCTCCATCTTCCCAATACCTCTAACTCTCCATTTAATAATTCTCCTCTTCTATTTTTAACTGACAAATCCATTTGTTCTCTAGGCTTCCTTAACTTGTTAATCTCACTCCAAAACTTTTTCTTATTTTCAACTAAATTTGTTGATAACATCTCACCCACTCTCTCATTTGCTCTCTTTTTACATTGCTTAACCGCTCTCTTAACCTCTCTCTTTTTCTCCATATACTCTTCCCTTCTTGCATCACTTCTACTTTGTAAAAACTTATCATATGCTAACTTTTTCTCCCTTACTGCTCTCTTTACATCATCATTCCACCAATCGCTCCTCTTCCCTCCCGCACCCACTTTCCTGTAACCACAAACTTCTGCTGGACACTCTAACACTACATTTTTAAACCTACCCCATACCTCTTCGACCCCATTGCCTATTCTCTCATTAGCCCATCTATCCTCCAATAGCTGTTTATATCTTACCCTAACTGCCTCCTCTTTTAGTTTATAAACCTTCACCTCTCTCTTCCCTGATGCTTCTATTCTCCTTGTACCCCATCTACCTTTTACTCTCAGTGTAGCTACAACTAGAAAGTGATCTGATATCTGTGGCCCCTCTATAAACATGTACATCCTGAAGTCTACTCAACAGTCTTTTATCTACCAATACATAATCCAACAAACTACTGTCATTTCGCCCTGCATCATATCTTGTATACTTATTTATCCTCTTTTTCTTAAAATATGTATTACCTATAACTAAACCCCTTTCTATACAAAGTTCAATCAAAGGGCTCACATTATCATTTACACCTGGCACCCCAAACTTACCTACCACACCCTCTCTAAAAGTTTCTCCTACTTTAGCATTCAGGTCCCCTACCACAATTACTCTCTCACTTGGTTCAAAGGCTCCTATACATTCACTTAACATCTCCCGAAATCTCTCTCTCTCCTCTACATTCCTCTCTTCTCCAGGTGCATACACGCTTATTATGACCCACTTTTCACATCCAACCTTTACTTTAATCCACATAATTCTTGAATTTACACATTCATATTCTCTTTTCTCCTTCCATAACTGATCCTTCAACATTACTGCTACCCCTTCCTTTGCTCTAACTCTCTCAGATACTCCAGATTTAATCCCATTTATTTCCCCCCACCGAAACTCCCCTACCCCCTTCAGCTTTGTTTCGCTTAGGGCCAGGACATCCAACTTCTTTTCATTCATAACATCAGCGATCATCTGTTTCTTGTCATTTAGAACTTTGCATTAAACTGTATCTGCCACTTCTCCAACCACTGCATCAGTCTATTCAAATCTTCCTGGAGTGCTCTAATGTCCTCATTAGAATGAATTGTAAACATACTGGGTGGGGTGTGGTAACTGTATTAGAAAGTCAGGTGGGGGGAGCCGTATAGTGAGTTTTGGCCATAATTTGAAATGTCCGTATTAGTGGAACGCTGTAAAGCAGGGCCCTACTGTTTATATTTTACAATGATCTTGAAGGCACACAGGTGTTATGAACACAGAAAATTACATTAAGTTTATATAATCCAGGATATATCCCTCTGACCTAAATGTAATAACATAATTAACCCAGCATATGCCAAGAAAGTCATACAATGTGACATACAGTATTTCCATGTTTTATTTAGCATTGCACCTTGAAACGATTGTAATATCAAAAGTATTCCTTATACAAAGTGTTAGACAACCAAAGCATTAAAATAAGGTATAACAGCTATTAGGACAATTTATACTGTATATTTCAAGTGGAGCAGTGTCAAACTGCATTTCCCCATGTTTGAAATACAGTGCAATAAACTCATGTACATGGTGTTAGACAATTTAACAAATGAAAAAAAAATCGTAATTTGGCATCAATAAATTGTAAAACAAATTTTGCTGGCACATTTATGCCACTGTTGCCAACACGTAATCATATTTTTGTTAACTTCGGTATATCATAAAAGCCTAAGTTTTCATGTGATTTATTAGTTTTTATTTCATTATGGTTGGAAAAACACACTTTAGTCTGTAAGGATTTTTTTTTTTTTTTTTTTAATTTTGATTTTGCCACACACAGGAAATTTTTATTTCTGGGGTCTGCCACAGTTTAAGGGTTAAAGTTAAAACCTTGGAATAAAAAACAAAAACAAAAAACTTACAGACTGTTAGTTAATGGTTCCATGGTGTAACACTGCATTAAATTTTTTTTATATAATTATCTTATAAAGCATTTAAACTATTTCATGAAGTATCTAGCAGTTACCTCTTATTGCTCATGTGTGATTGGCTTTCTGTTTATTGTTTATTTTTTTATTCTTTGTAAAGGTGCTTCAGGTGATGGCTCTTGTGGGTTACGTCGACCTCAGAAACTTCGCCGGGAAGATGCTGTTTGTGCTCCTCGGTCCCTGTTTGATCGACCATCTCCAGCTGTCGTGAAAATACGCCGAGATCTTAAGCTACAGAAATATAGAGGCATTGTCCGGCCAAGCATTCCACTGCCAGGTCTAAAGCCTGCAATGTTAACTAAACCACCTGCAGCAGAACCTGAGAACACTCCAGAGTGGGCAGTACATGAAGATTGGGCTGTTGTACAGGCTATGCAGCAGCACTTGCAGTTAGAACTGCCTGTTAATCTGCTTGTCTTGTCACCTGGTCACACTCCTAACTGGGATCTCGTAGCTGATTTAGTAAATTCAGTCTCCCGCTGTTACCGTTCTCCCCGTCACTGCAGGACCCGGTATGAAAATACCATTCTTCCTCGTGAAGAAGGGAAGTTACCACCAGACACTCCTCCCAAAAAGATATCAAAGAAACAAAAATCAGGACTTCTTTCAAAACCTATACATGTAAGTATTGTGAATAGCTTTCAGGTTATGTTGTTTTGTATTACTTGTATAGTAAAGTACTAATAAATGTTTCGACAGTACTAATATTTAGGCTTATTACAGCTTTATCCTTGTCATGGGTATAGGAATTATTTCCATAACTGAAAATTATGTATATAACAAATATTTAATTAACATTTGTGTAAATGCATGTTACTCTTTCTGTTAAGCTCAGACTTAATCTACCAAGCCTTAGTAAGAAAAAAAAAACTCATTATTGCAGTTTCTTGTTGCTAATACATCAGTCTTTATTTTTAGATAAGTAATTTTTTCAGATGGTTCTCTAGAGGTCACATGTTTAATTTTTAACCCTTTCACTGTTCGTTCTATAATATTATGGCTTGCAAGCCACTTTTGGTCCTGTAATAGTACGCCAAAATTCTAGCGGCTTCAAATCTTGCGGCAGAAAGCACTGTGTGCTGCAGGATTTGTTATTAGTGGTGCACACATACCACACAGATGTATTCTCTCATATCTAAGCCCAAATTTACCGCTCACAGCTTATCAGAGTGAGCTGAGCTCATAGCGTAGATCTATGGTTTGGACCCTCAACTCAAAACCATAGAACTACGGCACGGACCCTGAAAGGTTTAATATTATTCTGGAATAAATATGATGGGTAAATGACCTTTATTTATAGTAACAGTATAATTGTACAATATTTTATAGTGCCATGAGCTTACATGTCCATTCATCATGGTGAAGCTTGAGTTATTAAGAGACATTGCTGGCACCTTCTCCCTCTTTCTCATATAGCCCCACACACCCTCCAATACCTTTCCATATACGATGTCAGTTTTTATTAATTTGGGCTTATCATGCTTCTGCTGCCTAGTTATTATGGCTTGAAATCCTGTCGATGCTTTCACTGCCTCTTTCACTCTATCTTTATCCTTCAAGATAGAATGGTAGAACATGCTAGCTTCAAGTCATTGGCTATCACTTGCACTTTCTAACCAGCTTCATACTCATTTATAATTTTCATTTTCACCTGAAGATCAAGAGCCTTCCTTTGTTTCTTGGCGCTTCCTTGAGGTGAAGTCAAGATCTTCCATTTCGCCAACATCTTGTACTATGGGATGCACAGTAAAGTGCAAATTTGTACAATAATGTAGTCTTGGAGACAGTGAAAGCTAGTGTACTCAGTGGCTGTAGAAAAAAGACTGAGATACTTGATTCCAAGACGCTGCGCTGCCTGTTTCCATGTCGCAAGTTTTCGTATGGCATAAAATCCTAAGAATAATGATAATAATAAAATACTACTAGTAGTAATAATAGTCATAAAAATAGTAAATAATTGTTCTGGAGGGGTTTAAATGTCATATGTATTTTGTACAGGTTTGGTAGCTGACATTTAAACCACTCCAGAGCAATTATTATTATTATTATTATTATTTCCATCCACATACCTTGTACACTGGGTTTAATCATTTATTAAGCTGCCACGAGAGACAGAGAATGTAATAATAATTATTTTTTATTTATTATCACACTGGCCGATTCCCACCAAGGCAGGGTGGCCCGAAAAAGAAAAACTTTCACCATCATTCACTCCATCACTGTCTTGCCAGAGGTGTGCTTTACACTACAGTTTTTAAACTGCAACATTAACACCCCTCCTTCAGAGTGCAGGCACTGTACTTCCCATCTCCAGGACTCAAGTCCGGCCTGCCGGTTTCCCTGAACCCCTTCATAAATGTTACTTTGCTCACACTCCAACAGCACGTCAAGTATTAAAAACCATTTGTCTCCATTCACTCCTATCAAACACGCTCACGCACGCCTGCTGGAAGTCCAAGCCCCTCGCACACAAAACCTCCTTTACCCCCTCCCTCCAACCTTTCCTAGGCCGACCCCTACCCTGCCTTCCTTCCACTACAGACTAATACACTCTTGAAGTCATTCTGTTTTGCTCCATTCTCTCTACATGTCTGAACCACCTCAACAGCCCTTCCTCAGCCCTCTGGACAACAGTTTTGGTAATCCCGCACCTCCTTCTAACTTCCAAACTACGGATTCTCTGCATTATATTCACACCACACATTGCCCTCAGACATGACATCTCCACTGCCTCCAGCCTTCTCCTCGCTGCAACATTCATCACTCATGCTTCACACCCATAGAAGAGTGTTGGTAAAACTATACTCTCATACATTCCCCTCTTTGCCTCCAAGGACAAAGTTCTTTGTCTCCACAGACTCCTAAGTGCACCACTCACCCTTTTCCCCTCATCAATTCTATGATTCACCTCATCTTTCATAGACCCATCTGCTGACACGTCCACTCCCAAATATCTGAATACATTCACCTCCTCCATACTTTCTCCTTCCAATCTGATATCCAATCTTTCATCACCTAATCTTTTTGTTATCCTCATAACCTTACTCTTTCCTGTATTCACTTTTAATTTTCGTCTTTTGCATTTATTTTTTATTATTATCACACTGGCCGATTCCCACCAAGGCAGGGAGGCCCGAAAAAGAAAGAGCTTTCACCATCATTCACTCCATCACTGTCTTGCCAGAAGGGTGCTTTACACTACAGTTTTTAAACTGCAACATTAACACCCCTCCTTCAGAGTGCAGGCACTGTACTTCCCATCTCCAGGACTCACGTCCGGCCTGCCGGTTTCCCTGAACCCCTTCATAAATGTTACTTTGCTCACACTCCAACAGCACGTCAAGTATTAAAAGCCAATTTTCTCCATTCACTCCTATCAAACATGCTCACGCATGCCTGCTGGAAGTCCAAGCCCCTCTCACACAAAACCTCCTTTACCCCCTCCCTCCAACCTTTCCTAGGCCGACCCCTACCCCGCCTTCCTTCCACTACAGACTGATACACTCTTGAAGTCACTCTGTTTCGCTCCATTCTCTCTACATGTCTGAACCACCTCAACAACCCTTCCTCAGCCCTCTGGACAACAGTTTTGGTAATCCCGCACCTCCTCCTAACTTCCATACTATGAATTCTCTGCATTATATTCACACCACACATTGCCCTCAGACATGACAGCTCCACTGCCTCCAGCCTTCTCCTCGCTGCAACATTCATTACTCATGCTTCACACCCATATAAGAGCATTGGTAAAACTATACTCTCATACATTCTCCTCTTTGCCTCCAAGGACAAAGTTCTTTGTCTCCACAGACTCCTAAGTGCACCACTCGCCCTTTTCCCCTCATCAATTCTATGATTCACCTCATCTTTCATAGACCCATCCGCTGACACGTCCCCCCAAAATATTGAATACATTCACCTCCTCCATACTCTCTCCCTCCAATCTGATATCCAATTTTTCATCCCCTATCTTTTTGTTATCCTCATAACCTTACTCTTTCCTGTATTCATTTTTAAAATTTTCTTTTTTTGCATACCCTACCAAATTCATCCACCAATCTCTGCAACTTCTCTTCAGAATCTCCCAAGAGCACAGTGTCATCAGCAAAGAGCAACTTTTGACACCTCCCACTTTATGTGTTATTCTTTATCTTTTAACTCCACGCCTCTTGCGAAGACCCTCGCATTTACTTCTCTTACAACCCCACCTATAAATGTATTAAACAACCACGGTGACATCACACCTCCTTGTCTAAGGCCTACTTTTACTTGGGAAAAATAATTTCCCTCTTTCCTACATACTCTAACTTGAAGCCTCACTATCCTCGTAAAAGCTCTTCCTGCTTTCAGTAACCTACCTCCTATACCATACACCTGCAACATCTGCCACATTGCCCCCCTATCCACCCTGTCGTACGCCTTTTCCAAACCCCATAAATGCCACAAAGACCTCTTGCCTTATCTAAATACTGTTCACTTATATGTTTCACTGTAAACACCTGGTCCACAAAACCCCCTACCTTTCCTAAAGCCCCCTTGTTCATCTGCTATCCTATTTCCCCCCGTTACTCTTAATTCTTTCAATAATAACTCTACCATACACTTTACCCGGTATACTCAACAGACTTATCCCCCTATAATTTTTGCACTCTCTTTTGTCCCCTTTGCCTTTATACAAAGGAAACTATGCATGCTCTCTGCCAATCCCTAGGTACCTTACCCTCTTCCATACATTTATTAAATAATTGCACCAACCACTCCAAAAAATATATCCCCACCTGCTTTTAACATTTCTATCTTTATCCCCTCAATCCAGGCTGCCTTTCCCCCTTTCATTTTACCTACTGCCTCACGAACTTCCCCCACACTCACAACTGGCTCTTCCTCACTTCCCACAAGATGTTATTCCTCCTTGCCCTATACACGAAATCACAGCTTCCCTATCTTCATCAACATTTAACAATTCCTCAAAATATTCCCTCCATCTTCCCAATACCTCTAACTCTCCATTTAATAACTCTCTTCTCCTATTTTTAACTGACAAATCCATTTGCTCTCTAGGCTTCCTTAACTTGTTAATCTCACTCCAAAACTTTTTCTTATTTTCAACAAAATTTGTTGATAACATCTCACCCACTCTCATAATAATAATAATAATTAATAATAACAACAATTGCTTTGGAGTGCTTTAAATGTCAGCTACCAAAACTATATGAAATACATATGACATTGAAAGTGCCCCAGAGTGATTAATTATGTTTTATTATTATTGTTATTGTTAGTATTATCACCGTCGACATATCTTTTTCACTGAGTTTAAGCATTTCATAATTAAGCTGCCACGAGAGACCGAGAATGTAAACACAGACGAACACACCAGCTAACCCCTTTATTGTGAACTTCTTTTGTACTTCTTCCATTTTCCTATCTTTCCTCTCCCAAGTGCTGCTACACTTTTATCTTCTATTATGGGGTGCACAATCATATACAAATTTATCAACAAAATATGTAGTCTTTGAGATTGCTTGATACTGAGACCCATCACTAACCCATTTACAATGAACTTCTATTGTACTCCTTCCATTTAACTCTTCCAAGTGCTGCTGCACTTCTATCTTGTACTATGGGGTGCACAATCAAGGACAAATTTGTACAAATATGTAGTTTTGGAGACTTTTAAAGCTAGTGTATTGAGTGGCTGTAAGAAGGAGATTGAGATGCTTGACGCTGAGACACTGCTGCCCGTTTCCGTGACCCAAGTTCTTGTACGGCATACAATACTGACTTGTCGGAGAGCCCGTTGTAACTCTGAGTTGTCGGTAAACAAGTATGTCAGTAAGTGAGGAGAGGCTGTAATTGTATGGGTTAGTTGTGTGGGTGGAGGTTGTCGGTCAGATGGTATGGGTGAAGGCATGTGGCCGTGAGGAATTATCAGTGAGGGAAGGAGGAAGGAGTGGAAGGAGGAAGGGTGGAAGGAGGAAGGAGTGGGTTGGAGGCATGGTATGGGTGAAGGCATGTCACCAGGGGGGAAATTATAGGCATGGGTGGTATGGGTGGGGGTTTTGGGCAATATAGGTGAGGTTGCTGGATGTCCAGTAAGGACGGGTGGCCATGGGAGGAAGAGGGAAAGGTTGAATGAGCAGTTGGTGTAGGTGAAGGCATGTTGCCAAGGTATAATACTGGATGTGATGAACATAGCTCAAGGTATGGTATTTGATGTGTATGTGTAGCCTCACTGCCAAGTACTCTAACCTTCACCCACCAAGCCCAACACCAGTACCTGTTTTTCACACCCCTCTGCCCATATATTATAGCCCTCACCCACCTTCACCCATCCCCTCAACCACATGCCCATATGTCAGAGAGCAGGACAGTTGTGGACTCAAACCTTCACCCAGCATCAGGTCCCCACCTTTACCTATCTCCCACAGTTTCCTGTCACCCATACTCTCCCTCCATGCTTCCCACCTCCCCACTGTGCTTTCTTGGACCTCCCCCCCTCCCCACACTTACACCCACCTCTCTCCCAAACACTTGCCCTCGCCTGCATATCTTCATCCACCTGCCTCTGCCCATCTCACCATATGCTCCAGTGCCATATGGGAAATACAGTGGGTGAGGGGAATGCAGGACAGTAACAACAGCATGCACCCATGATCCACTTTCACCCCTAACCTCATTCTCCCACCCACTAACCTATGAGACAGTGGACTCTCCCTGAGGCTCACTGTGAGATGTAAGGGAAAGAATGTGGCATGTGCCAAATTTTCCTCTGCATGTACTCCACAGTGTAAACCAATTTTTATATGGTATGTTCAAAAATATATCCCAATTTTGCAACTGTGTCAGAGCAAAAGTGTGTTAACAGATTGTGTGTTATCTGACTACTTATTGTAGATTAAGCTTACATCAGTGGAATCCTTGTACTCTGCTGATTACAGATATGTATGCTGTATTTTAATAAGTATGTGATGAGTTATGATCCAGAGAAATGCTTGTCCTGTGACCTCAAAATGACCTAGATAATAACTTCTGACCTATAAGTCAGAGTGAGCTATCATATACAGAGGAGAGCTCAAAGTATTATAAGATAACCTGAATACAAAATTTGAAGAAATTTGGAGACTAGAGTGCAGCCCAGGTTGTCTTGTCCTTGAATGCCTCTTATAAATGACTGGGAAAGTGAGTTCAGATAGACATAGTGTGCAAGTGGCACAAAGATAATTTATTCATTCCAACTTTATTACAATTTCATGATACTAACAGTGAGATTCAGCCACAAAGCACACTAAGTATGTTTAACCCAGGATAACCCAGTGAGGTCAAACATTGTGACCTGTTTCCATGCTTTGAGGAGTATTACACTCTGAAACAATTGTAATATTTTAAGTATTCCTTTTACATAGTGTTAGAAGACCAAAATAATAAAAGAAAAATTAGAATAAAAAGCATTGATACCATATATATATACCATATATTTCAAGTGGAGCAATGTCGGACTAAGCATTTCCCTACATTTGAAATACTGTAGCATCTATGAACATATCTAATATCATAAGACGCTAGTGTACTGTACATAGTGTTAAACATAAAAACATAAATATTGTAGACATATTAAAGCCACTGTTGCCAATGAGTGAACATTTTTTCTCTAACTTCAACATGCTATAAACCCATAAGTTTTTATCAGATGCCACTCATTTTAATTTTATTTGATTCAGAATAATACACTCCTTCATTTATAAGTTTTTTTTTTTTTTCAAACTCTTCCCACACAGACAGGAGTTTTTATTTGTAGGTATGCCACAGTTTAAGGGTTAACAATCATAGAATAATTACTATCTCAATAAAGTAAAGTAATACACAATATATATATTTTCTTATGTAAAAGCTCTTTTTATTTAATGCTGATATGAAGTAATTTTAATTTTGTATTAAAAATATTTGTTTTTACAGAAAAGTTCACGTCCACTGAGAACTTCACAGTTATTTACACAGGATAACAACAGCAGTTTCTCCTCTCTGTATTGTACTCGGTTTGAGACAATTAAAAACATAGCCGTCAAGCGTTCTCCACCGACCAAACCACCAATACTAAACACCACTCATAAAAACCCCAAGCATGCCCAGGTACTTGCAGAATCAGGAATTCAATATGATGGCCCTCTCAATCCAGGCCAAGTAGCTTTAAATCTTGCAGAGCGCATTCAACGTGCAAAACAAAAATCTCAGTCTGATCTTGCTCAACAACAGCAGCAGAAACTACTGCAGCAGCAGCAGCTTCAGTTACAACAGCAACAGCAGCAGCAACAAATACAGCAAGCTCAGCTTACTGCAAACCAGCTACAAGTACAGCTACAACAACAGCAACAACCTCAAACAAATCAGGTACAACAACAAAGTGTTCAGCAACAAGCCCAGCAGCAACAAGGTCAACAGCAAGTCTCAGTTGTTGGGAACACAGCTACTCAACAAGTAGTCAGTAGTGGCCTTTCTGGCAAGGTTGCCACTTCAGTGGTGTTGAGTCAAGGAACTGCTATGACTGTTGCTACTGTTACTGCTGCTACAGCCACCACCACTGCTGCCTCCTCAACTACTGCAGCCATCCTTGGAGGTGTGCGTACTGCAGCCGGAGTTGCTAATGCCAGCCGCACCACTTTAGCCCTTCAGGAGCTACAGGTGCGCACATCAGGAAGTAATCAAAGTACAGTAGTGAGTGTGGCTGGTCTGGCACAGTTACAGACTGCAAAACTTACTGCATCATTGTCTTCACAATCATCTACACAGAAAGGTAATAAATTATTTGCCTAAAAACATGAAATTTATCTTGTACAGTGGAACCTCAAATATAGAACTTTCTTTGGTCCAGAAGGCTGTTCAAGTGTCGCTACCGAACAAATTTATTCCCATCAGGAATAATGTAAATTAGATTAGTCCATTTCAGACCCTCAAAAATGCACTTATAAAAGCACTTACAAAAATACACTTACATAATTGGTTGAGTTGGGAGCAGTTCGATTTTTGAGGTTCCACTGTATTAATGCTAAAGTAACAGTTTGTAATGGATGGTGATGACTTCACTATCACCATGGTTTGATCTTTGATGAAGCCACCTAATTAGTAGTTTGGCCTAGAATTATGTTGTTGGCAAATCACAGTCCAACATAGGTATCACATGATGATGATATCTCTTATCATATCAGCATGCATTGCATTTCTACTTATTTAATACTTAGGCCATTTCTCACAAAGGCAGGGTAACTTAGGGAAAGAGAACGCATTCACCATCACTAATCCCTATCTGTTTCTCGAGAAATACAAGGACAGCTGAGCCTAACCTCCCAACCCATCATTCAAAGTGCACGCTCTATATTTCCCACTTCCAAAATTCAGATTCATTCAGTTTCACTGAATCCCTTTTCATTAGGTCTTTTTTTTTTTCACATAATGTTTGACACTCATACCCTATTAACCCTTTCAGTGTCGGTCCCTTTGTACTATGGCTTTGAAGCCAAGGTTGGTCCCTTTGTACAGTGGAACTCGGGTTTTCGCGTGCTCCAGTTATCGGACGTTTCAGTTTTAGGACCGTTTTTTTGTGCGAAATTTTGTTCCGGATATCGGACCTTGATCTGGTAATCAGATGTATTTTACGCGCCAGCCTGGGCTGCTCATACGTTTGTGACTCACACTTGGGCACATTAAATGTCTTGTTTTATATTAATATAAACTCAGTGAACATGGTATGTTGAAGGTAATAATATGGCTTTGGGCTGTATTAAATATCGTGTAGCTAGGTATATGTATGTAGCCCAGGCTACTTACTGGCTACCTACTAGCTACCTACCAGCTACCTACCTCTACCAGCTACCTATCTCTGCTGGCTACTTACATCTACTGACTACTTAGTAAGTAAGTTTATTGAGGTATATATAAATACAGTTACATAGCTTATCATACATAGCAGCATATGTGTAGAGATCCTAGGATAACCCACAAGAGTCAAACAGTGACTTCCTACAAAACAGTACTACTCAGCTCTTGCCCTACATTAACCCGTAAACAGTCCAAATGTATATATACATTCTTTCGCCCAGCGCCCCAAATATTTTGAAAAAAAAAAAATCTTTTTTTTTATATATAGAAAAAAGAGTGCATTTTTGTAAGTGTTATAGGGTAAAAAAAAAAATTAGGGTTAGTACTTATTGAGATATGAGGCTGTGAAGTTGGCACTGGATGCTCACCTGATGGCAACATCAAGTCCTGCCGCTTCCAGAAGTGTTGCCGATATACCTTTTTTTCTCTCTTTTATATTATTTTATATAATTTTTATGTTGTAGGTAGTAGGTTGGTAGACAGCAACCACCCAGGGGGGTACTACCGTCCTGCCAAGTGAGTGTGAAACGAAAGCCTGTAATTGTTTTACGTGATGGTAGGATTTCTGGTGTCCTTTTTTCTGTCTCATAAACATGCAAGATTTCAGGTACGTCTTGCTACTTCTACTTACACTTAGGTCACACTACACATACATGTACAAGCACATATATACACACCCCTCTGGGTTTTCTTCTATTTTCTTTCTAGTTCTTATTCTTGTTTATTTCCTCTTATCTCCATGGGGAAGTGGAACAGAATTCTTCCTCCGTAAGCCATGCGTGTTGTAAGAGGCGACTAAAATGCCGGGAGCAAGGGGCTAGTAACCTCTTCTCCTGTATATACACCTACCATCTGACTTACGACCAAGTTCCGTTCCGAGAAACCAGTCGTAAGTCGAAATGGACATAAGTCGAATATCAACATCACATTTTTGTAATAACTCTATTTTATTGTTTTATTTTGGTATTTCATTTTTACTTTACTTTTAATGCTGTTAGTACTGTATTTTATACTGTAAGGTTTAGGATAAACACTGTGTACAACACAAATAGTTGTTTATTTCCCAGAAATTTGGCATCAAAAAACACGGTCGTAAGCCGAGTGGTCGTAAGTCGAGCAGGTCGTAAGTCAGATGGTAGGTATATTACTAAATGTAAAAGGAGAAACTTTTGTTTTTCCTTTTGGGCCACCCCGCCTCGGTGGGATACTGCCGGTTTATTGAAAGAAAGAATTTTTATGTTCTGATAATTAAAATTTTTAGTAGTTCTTGTGATTTCATAGCCATTCTTTGTTCTGACACACATTAGATATTGAAATTGTACTCCAAGTGTCACAAACACACTACTGACAGGTGGACATTTATACCTGCCTTGGTCATTTACTATTGTCTAGGAATATATACAAAGTATTTTTAGGTCCCAGCAATGTTTTAGACGTGCTGGAGTATATATGAAACTTCTTGAAGCTTGGTGTTTATGACAAGTGTCACTTATCTGCTGACAGGGTAAGCAGTGGAGTGACATTTGATGATAGTGCATAATAATAATAATAATAATAATAATAATAATTTCTCTCAAAGCATGATGTAAGACATGTGTCACTGTCTTGTCTTATCTTATCACTCCACTAATGACAGTTGTGACATTTGATGAGGGAGTGTACACTGCCTTCGCTATATTTGTTTTCACTGTTACACATAAACATGTCTGTCTGTCTGTCTAGCTCTCTGTCTATCTGTCTGTGTGTCTGTCTTTCTGTATGCCTGGGAAGAGCTAACTACTGAAGCAATTGTATTTACATTGTATTTACATTATTTCTTATGGGATATATTGATTCAGTTTTCACACGTTTCGGTTTTAGAATGACCTTCTGGAACGGATTAAGTTCGAAAACCAGGGTTCCACTGTACTATGCCATGACCTCAGCTCACTCAAATAAGCTGTGAGCAGTAAATTTAGGCCTAGATATGAAAAACTAGGACTGTGCAGTAAGTGTGTGCCATATAAAAAAATCCTGCAGCACATAGCGCATAGTGAGACCGTGTTTTTGGTTTAATACAGCAAATTTGCGATGTATTTTCATATGAGTTTTATGGTTGTATTCTCAAGTTTCTTGGACTCAGTTGATAGAATGGAAGATATATTACAAAAATAGGGATGATTTTGATCAGTTTCAGGACTGAAAGTGGCTTGAAATTGAGCTCAAATTAGCAGAAATGTTCGATTTTTGCCGATATTCCAGAGTTCACATTGTCCAGTATACATCCAACTGGCCAGTCTAATATGCATTTAGGAATGCATTGACATTATTTGTACAATTATTACAATAATGCAGTAGTCTGCATAACAGTAAATCTTCTATTTTTTGTGTGAATAAAAATTCAAACTGAAAAACAAGTGTAATATAAGAGGGGCCTGGAGATGCGACTAAGGAAATGTTTATTTAGTGCCAGGAATGTTACATAGTTTATTCTGGACCCTATTTTCAAATTGGCAGTTGTTGAATTTTGTATGAAATTGGCCAAATTTCCAATTTCTGATCACTTTATTAGATAGGTGAAATAGGTAAATGGGCAGTTTCTTGTACTCAGTCAATAGAATAGAAGGAATACTAGCAAAACAGCTATGAGTTTGGTGGACTGGAATGGAATTGATGGAAAATAGAGCACAAAGTGGGCGAAATTGCTGATGCATAAATATCGCCATTACTGCTAACTTTGCGAGAGCATATTTCCATAAGTTTTCCATCAAATTTCTTACCTTTGGTTTCATTACCTTTGGAAAAAAATTCTCTATCATTTCCTGAGATCATTTTTTTTTTTTAAATTCCTCGACCCTAAGAGCAAGTTTGAGATCAGGGGGGTATCGATACTCAAAGGGTTAAATTCTTCAACCCTGATAGCAAGTTTGAGATCGGGGGTCTCGACCCTGAAAGGGTTAAAAAAGCTGATGTATTAGACACCCTTTCATCTTGTATAGGAAGAGAACCCTGTGTAAAAAAAAAAAAAAAAAAAAACGAAACAAATGCTGCAGGTGCTCAAAATGGAGGTGGAAAATATTTCAGCCTTTAGTGTCAGCTTCAAACACACAACCTCATCATTTTTGTAGACCTTAATGGTCATGTTACATGAAGGGTAAATAGTGTGATTTTAGCATGTTTGCTTTGTAGTACTGGATAATGCCTGAGTAGCTTTACATTTTTGAATGAAGATTGAGAGTACAATATTACAAAGAATTTTTAATAATGTGGGAAGTGTAAGAATACTTCCACTTTACTACAGTTACCTGTTTGAAGTAAAATTATGTATAGTACATCTGTAATGATATAAAATATCAGTTTTCACGTTGTTGTGCATCTCACTTTTGTAAAGAATTATTTATATAAGTACATACTTTATATACATATCTGTAATTATTTATTGAAATTAAAATGCTAACTTTGTGGTCTATTTTCATATAGTATTTATGGTTGTATTCTCGTTTTCTTGGTCTCATTTGATAGAATGGAAAACATATTATAGAAATAGAGGTGATTTTGATTGATTTTACTATAAAAAGAACCTGGAAATGGAGCTCAAAGTAGGGGAAATGTTTGATTTTTGCCAATGTTCAAAAGTAAACAAATGATGTCATTGTCCAATAAATGTCCAACTAGCCATTCTAATATGCAGTCATGAATGGAGACAAAGAACTTTGTCCTTGGAGGCAAAGAGGGGAATATATGAGAGTATAGTTTTACCAACGCTCTTATATGGGTGTGAAGCATGGGTGATGAATGTTGCAGCGAGAAGGCTGGAGGCAGTGGAGATGTCATGTCTGAGGGCAATGTGTGGTGTGAATATAATGCAGAGAATTCGTAGTTTGGAAGTTAGGAGGAGGTGCTGGATTACCAAAACTGTTGTCCAGAGGGCTGAGGAAGGGTTGTTGAGGTGGTTCGAACATGTAGAGAGAATGGAGCGAAACAGAATGACTTCAAGAGTGTATCAGTCTGTAGTGGAAGGAAGGCGGGGTAGGGGTCGGCCTAGGAAAGGTTGGAGAGAGGGGGGTAAAGGAGGTTTTGTGTGCGAGGGGCTTGGACTTCCAGCAGGCATGCGTGAGCGTGTTTGATAGGAGTGAATGGAGACAAATGGTTTTTAATACTTGACGTGCTGTTGGAGTGTGAGCAAAGTAACATTTATGAAGGGGTTTAGGGAAACCGGCAGGCCGGACTTGAGTCCTGGAGATGGGAAGTACAGTGCCTGCACTCTGAAGGAGGGGTGTTAATGTTGCAGTTTAAAAACTGTAGTGTAAAGCATCCTTCTGGCAAGACAGTGATGGAGTGAATGATGGTGAAATTTTTTCTTTTTCGGGCCACCCTGCCTTGGTGGGAATCGGCCAGTGTGATAAAAAAAAAAAAAAAAAAAGAATGGGTTGATGTTATTTATACAATTATTACAGTATTGCAGTAGTCTGCATAATAGTAAGTCATCTATTTTTTTGAATAAAAATTCAAAATAGAAAGCAAGAGTAATATCAGAGGGGCCTGGAGACATGACTGATGAACAAAGAAAATGTTATTTTAGAGCCAGGAATGTCTGCATTGTTCATTCTGGGCCTTATTTTGAAATTGTCATGTTTTTTAATTTTTATGAAATTGGCCAAATTGCAAATTTCTGACCACATTATTGGGAAGTTGAAATCGGTAAATGGGCAGTTTCTTGTACTCAATCGATAGAAAAAATGGAGTTCTAAAGAAATAGCTATGAGTTTGGTCGACTGGAACAACGGAATTAACGGAAAATAGGGCTCAAAGTGGGCGAAATCGCTGATTTGTAAATATCGCCGCGGTCGCTAACTTCACAAGACCATAATTCCGTCAGTTTTCCATCAAATTTCGTTTTTTTATGTCATTACAATCGGGAAAAGATTCTCTCTTATTTCATAAGATTTTTTTTTTTTTTTTTTTTTTTTTTTTTTTTTTTTTTTTTTTTTTTTTTTTGAAATTTTGCGACACCAGGAGACACCTCAGGATTGGGGGTTGCGACAGTCAACGGGTTAAATAGTTGGAGTTTGTTGGGCTGAGGTGTAATTCTTGGTCCAGCCTCTAACTTTCAGTCAGCTGACATCAGTGAGCCTTGTCTTCTCTATTTCTATTTTTGTATACCTCTTAGTTTGTACAAGTGAAGGAGGGATGGAGATGCTATGGTTCAGAGGGTCATTTGAACTGTGATATTTATGTGCTCCTCGCAAGAAAGTTATTGAATAAATGAAGGTGAGTGTTTTATTCTTTGGGGTTACTTTGCCTTGATGGCAGACAGTCAGTGGTAAAAAAATATATTATATTATCACACTGGCCAATTCCCACCAAGACAGGGTGGCCCAAAAAAGAAAAACTTTCACCATCATTCACTCCATCACTGTCTTGCCAGAAGGGTGCTTTACACTACAGTTTTTAAACTGCAACATTAACACCCCTCCTTCAGAGTGCAGGCACTGTACTTCCCATCTCCAGGACTCAAGTCTGGCCTGCCGGTTTCCCTGAACCCCTTCATAAATGTTACTCTGCTCACACTCCAACAGCACGTCAAGTATTAAAAACCATTTGTCTCCATTCACTCCTATCAAACACGCTCACGCATGCCTGCTGGAAGTCCAAGCCCCTCTCACACAAAACCTCCTTTACCCCCTCCCTCCAACCTTTCCTAGGCCGACCCCTACCCCGCCTTCCTTCCACTACAGACTGATACACTCTTGAAGTTATTCTGTTTCGCTCCAGTTTAGGAAATGAGAATGCTGTTTGTAAGTTCTGAAGGTCTCACATATCACGAACTTTGAAGGAGGTTGTTGGTCTACAGTAAAATTTAAATCTTAGAAACTTCGATGCAGTTTAAAAATTACCATTTCTTGTATGGTAGTTATTTTTACCAAATCATCTGTTTTCCACTAAGGATGACTCAAAGAAGGAAGCATATCCACTCACTTATTAAATAGCTGTCATGCCAGAAGTGTGCAGCCATCACATTTCATATAATCCTGCCTTTCAAAACAGAAAAGATAGCACAACTTCAAAATGTACAAAATTCTTGTACTGCCTGCATAGAATTAATGAAACATTCAAACTATTGAGAATGCCTCCAGTCAGTTGGAGAGATACATGATAATATATGTGGAAGGTACTTGAAGGCCTAGTTCCAAACCTTCACACTACTATAATAACTTGCTGCAGTGAAAAATACGTATAAGGAAAAGTCTGTAGTAAATTCAGTGAAGAGCAAGAGCTCCTTGGATACAGTTAGAGAACATTGACAACATCCATGGCCCTAGACTCACTTCCTACTACAGGTACCTGATCAGCTAGGGTATGATGGATATATAAGCCTACAGGCCACTTGTGCAAACAGCCTGGTTGACTAGGCAGTCAACTGGGAAGCTGGCTTCAGATAGGGCTGCTGGGGTAGAAGAGCCCTCAAAACTGGTCACAGGTAAACAGGTTTCCTGAATACCTGTATAAATGTTACCTTCCTCACACTGACTGCACGTCAGATCTCAGAAACCGCTTGTCTCAACCCACCCAAATCTAATACACTCACATGGGACTCCTTTATGCTCAAGCCCCTACAACTCAAAACCTTCACACCCTCTTTCCATCCTTTCCTTGGACATCCCTTCCGCCTTCTATTCACACCTGATTTATGTACATATGTCTACTTTAGAAATGCATAAGTTATTTGCTTGTATTCTGGTTACAGGTGTTACTGGGGTTCAAAGATCCTTTACTCCAGCACAGTTGCAGTATTTGAAGACACAAGCCCAAGCAAGACAAGCTCTTGCATTGCAACAGCAGCAAGGCAAAGTGGTTACCACAGGTGACCAAACCATCAAGCGTGTTCAGGTCTGTAAATCAGTTGGTCTCATTTTTTTTATACTGTACCTCTTCCAAGTGAATGCTGTATATTTATCATATAATGCATATTACAATAGTATAAGCATAATATCATGTTTATTGAAAAGAATTTAGAAATTTAAAAAGATTACATTTTAATAGTAAAGGATGACTATTACAGATAGCTGGGCAAGCAGGAACCACTCAAAAGGTGCAAGTAGCAGTGTCTGGGGGAACTTTAGCAGCTGTTACTGCTATACAGGTAAAACTTGGCTTTCATTAAAATTGGAAACTAAATAAATGTGAATATCAATAATGTGTGTAGCTAGAAGGCAAAGCCAGTATGGACCATTAATGAGACTTAATGTTTCTTACAGCTTGCATAAAGTTCATAGGCAAGACTTTCTAAAAGTGCAAGCCAAGAGCATTTAAATAACATAAATATAGCTAAGGGGCTGATGAAAATACCAAGTTAAATATGTAATGAATACTGCGAATACTCGAGTATAATTTGACTTTCTGTATGAGTTGGCACCTAACCTTTTTTTTTACTATAAGCTCTTTTCTTTTTCATGTATATCTTGTACAAGTTGACCCTAGTTCCTAAGAGACAGCAAAGCAATATTTTAAAATTAGCATTGTGGGTGTTGGTAATGTGTTATCACTATCCAAGTAGTTGGGCTTTGTGATTTGCTTTATGTAAAAATATAAACAGGTTGTACACAAATTACCAGCACATAGGAGAGAGAGAGAGAGAGAAGCTTATGATAACATTTCTGTACAACTTGGACCATTTACTTTGTAAATGGTCTAAGTTAGACATAAATGACTTAGACAGTCTGACTTAGACCATTTACTTTGTAAATGGTCTGACTGAAACCTCATCATAAGCTTCTTTCTCCTATGTGCGGGTTATTTGTATGTTGTTCCAGTTACAGTATTGTGCCTTATTTTGCAATCTCTAGTCTAATGGTTCTTTTATTAAATTTTGATGAACAAAATATAGGGAGAAGAATAAAATATATTATTGAGAAAGCCAGTCTCTAATAGAAGTAGAGCTAATATATTAAAGTTAGATATATAGTGTGGCTAGTTCCATGCAAAAAAGTAATCTCCCAGTCTAATAAAACCATAAGAATAGAGGATGACTGCAGTAATACTACTGGGCCATGCCAAGCAAGTCATACTCACACCTCCCATTACACACTTGTATCTGTCTTAACAAATCTTTATATCTGTCTCATCTTCATATAAGCTCTGTAGGTTGGTAGACAGCAACCACCCAGGGAAGTACTACCGTCCTGCCAGATGACTGTGAAACAGAAACCTGTAACTGTTTTGCATGATGGTAGGATTGCTGGTGTCTTTTTCTGTCTCATAAACACGCTAGATAACAGGGATATCTTGCTACTCCAACTTACACTTTGGTCACACTTCACAGACATACACATGCATATATATATACATACATCTAGGTTTTTCTCCTTTTTCTACATAGCTCTTCTTCTTCTTTATTTCTTCTATTGTCCATGGGGAAGTGGAAAAGAATCTTTCCTCCGTAAGCCATGCGTGTCGTATGAGGCAACTAAAATGCCGGGAGCAATGGGCTAGTAACCCCTTCTCCTGTAGACATTTACTAAAAAAGAGAAGAAGAAAAACTTTATAAAACTAGGATGCTTGAATGTGCGTGGATGTAGTGCAGATGACAAGAAACAGATGATTGCTGATGTTATGAATGAAAAGAAGTTGGATGTCCTGGCCCTAAGCGAAACAAAGCTGAAGGGGGTAGGGGAGTTTCGGTGGGGGGAAATAAATGGGATTAAATCTGGAGTATCTGAGAGAGTTAGAGCAAAGGAAGGGGTAGCAGTAATGTTGAAGGATCAGTTATGGAAGGAGAAAAGAGAATATGAATGTGTAAATTCAAGAATTAATGTGGATTAAAGTAAAGGTTGGATGTGAAAAGTGGTCATAATAAGCGTGTATGCACCTGGAGAAGAGAGGAATGTAGAGGAGAGAGAGAGATTTTTGGGAGATGTTAAGTGAATGTATAGGAGCCTTTGAACCAAGTGAGAGAGTAATTGTGGTAGGGGACCTGAATGCTAAAGTAGGAGAAACTTTTAGAGAGGGTGTGGTAGGTAAGTTTGGGGTGCCAGGTGTAAATGATAATGGGAGCCCTTTGATTGAACTTTGTATAGAAAGGGGTTTAGTTATAGGTAATACATATTTTAAGAAAAAGAGGATAAATAAGTATACAAGATATGATGTAGGGCGAAATGACAGTAGTTTGTTGGATTAAGTATTGGTAGATAAAAGACTGTTGAGTAGACTTCAGGATGTACATGTTTATAGAGGGGCCACAGATATATCAGATCACTTTCTAGTTGTAGCTACACTGAGAGTAAAAGGTAGATGGGATACAAGGAGAATAGAAGCATCAGGGAAGAGAGAGGTGAAGGTTTATAAACTAAAAGAGGAGGCAGTTAGGGAAAGATATAAACAGCTATTGGAGGATAGATGGGCTAATGAGAGCATAGGCAATGGGGTCGAAGAGGTATGGGGTAGGTTTAAAAATGTAGTGTTAGAGTGTTCAGAAGTTTGTGGTTACAGGAAAGTGGGTGCGGGAGGGAAGAGGAGCGATTGGTGGAATGATGATGTAAAGAGAGTAGTAAGGAGAAGAAGTTAGCATATGAGAAGTTTTTACGAAGTAGAAGTGATGCAAGGAGGGAAGAGTATATGAAGAAAAAGAGAGAGGTTAAGAGAGTGGTGAAGCAATGTAAAAAGAGAGCAAATGAGAGAGTGGGTGAGATGTTATCAACAAATTTTGTTGAAAATAAGAAAAAGTTTTGGAGTGAGATTAACAAGTTAAGGAAGCCTAGAGAACAAATGGATTTGTCAGTTAAAAATAGTTGAGGAGAGTTATTAAATGGAGAGTTAGAGGTATTGGGAAGATGGAGGGAATATTTTGAGGAATTGTTAAATGTTGATGAAGATAGGGAAGCTGTGATTTCGTGTATAGGGCAAGGAGGAATAACATCTTCTAGGAGTGAGGAAGAGCCCAGTTGTGAGTGTGGGGAAGTTCGTGAGGCAGTAGGTAAAATGAAAGGGGTAAGGCAGCCGGGATTGATGGGATAAAGATAGAAATGTTAAAAGCAGGTGGGGATATAGTTTTGGAGTGGTTGGTGCAATTATTTAATAAATGTATGGAAGAGGGTAAGGTACCTAGGGATTGGCAGAGAGCATGCATAGTTCCTTTGTATAAAGGCAAAGGGGACAAAAGAGAGTGCAAAAATTATAGGGGGATAAGTCTGTTGAGTATACCTGATAAAGTGTATGGTAGAGTTATTATTGAAAGAATTAAAAGTAAGACTGAGAATAGGATAGCAGATGAACAAGGAGGCTTTAAGAAAGGTAGGGGTGTGTGGACCAGGTGTTTACAGTGAAACATATAAGTGAACAGTATTTAGATAAGGCTAAAGAGGTCTTTGTGGCATTTATAGATTTGGAAAAGGCGTATGACAGGGTGGATAGGGGGGCAATGTGGCAGATGTTGCAGGTGTATGGTGTAGGAGGTAGGTTACTGAAAGCAGTGAAGAGTTTTTACGAGGATAGTGAGGCTCAAGTTAGAGTACATAGGAAAGAGGGAAATTATTTCCCAGTAAAAGTAGGCCTTAGACAGGGATGTGTGATGTCACCGTGGTTGTTTAATATATTTATAGATGGGGTTGTAAGAGAAGTAAATGCAAGGGTCTTGACAAGAGGTGTGGAGTTAAAAGATAAGGAATCACACATAAAGTGGGAGTTGTCACAGTTGCTCTTTGCTGATGACACTGTACTCTTGGGAGATTCTGAAGAGAAGTTGCAGAGATTGGTGGATGAACTTGGTAGGGTGTGCAAAAGAAGAAAATTAAAAGTGAATACAGGAAAGAGTAAAGTTATGAGGATAACAAAAATATTAGGTGATGAAAGATTGGATATCAGATTGGAGGGAGAGAGTATGGAGGAGGTGAATGTATTCAGATATTTGGGAGTGGACGTGTCAGCGGATGGGTCTATGAAGGATGAGGTGAATCATAGAATTGATGAGGGGAAAAGGGTGAGTGGTGCACTTAGGAGTCTGTGGAGACAAAGAACTTTGTCCTTGGAGGCAAAGAGGGGAATGTATGAGAGTATAGTTTTACCAACACTCTTATATGGGTGTGAAGCATGGGTGATGAATGTTGCAGCGAGGAGAAGGCTGGAGGCAGTGAAGATGTCATGTCTGAGGGCAATGTGTGGTGTGAATATAATGCAGAGAATTCATAGTTTGGAAGTTAGGAGGAGGTGCGGGATTACCAAAACTGTTGTCCAGAGGGCTGAGGAAGGGTTGTTGAGGTGGTTCAGACATGTAGAGAGAATGGAGTAAAACAGAATGACTTCAAGAGTGTATCAGTCTGTAGTGGAAGGAAGGCGGGGTAGGGGTCGGCCTAGGAAAGGTTGGAGGGAGGGGGTAAAGGAGGTTTTGTGTGCGAGGGGCTTGGACTTCCAGCAGGCGTGCGTGAGCGTGTTTGATAGGAGTGAATGGAGACAAATGGTTTTTAATACTTGACGTGCTGTTGGAGTGTGAGCAAGGTAACATTTATGAAGGGGTTCAGGGAAACCGGCAGGCTGGACTCGAGTCCTGGAGGTGGGAAGTACAGTGCCTGCACTCTGAAGGAGGGGTGTTAATGTTGCAGTTTAAAAACTGTAGTGTAAAGCACCCTTCTGGCAAGACAGTGATGGAGTGAATGATGGTGAAATTTTTTCTTTTTCGGGCCACCCTGCCTTGGTGGGAATCGGCCAGTTTGATAATAAAAAAAAAAAAAACTATAAGTTTAGCACCTCCCAGGATAATAATAATTCACTCATCTGCATATTTACTGCTAACCCAGTGCTTTCCTATATCCTTTCTAAATCTAATTCTGATTAGCTTCTTTGTGAGACCGTTGAGAATGATGAACTACAGTGGACATATACTGCAGTAAACTACTTAAACTCTTTGAAATGTAGTTCATAAAGTCTATTGATTCATGCTAGGCAGGTCTAGATCTTGCCCACCCATTTCACTCATTTATATCTCTGTTGCTTTCCTACATAAGAATGCAAAACACAATAGAGGAGCACTGCATTAGGCCTACTAGTTTATGCTAGGCAGGTCCAACTCTCGCCCAACACTTCTTTCGCATACGGAAAAATGGTAAACAAGTACATGTACCAGTGAATTGCTAATAAAATGACACTAAATTACAGTAAAGAAACTTTAATATTTATAATGTTTTGCCCATGTTACAGACTTCTGCAAGTCAGTTGACTGACTTGAAATAGCCTGTAATGCAGGCAAAACTTTGTCAGCAATAAAGTTACGTTTACTACGCTTTTGTATTTTTCATCATCAATTTCCACTTGTGTATCTGTCCAACCCACACTTAACCTTTGACTGTTGCTAGCCCATATTTGAAACTCATTCTATGTTGCAAAATTTATGGGAAAAAAAATTATTTTTTCTTATGAAATGATAGAGAATCTTTTCCTGATGGTAATGACACCAAAAGTACAAAATTTTATCGAAAATTATGGAATTACGCTCCCGTGAAGTTAGTGATCTCGGCAAAGTTAGCATCAGCGATTTCACCGACTTTGAGCCCTATTTTTGGCCAATTTCATTATTTCAATACACCAAACTCATAGCTATTTCTTTAGAGCTCCATTTTTTCTATTAACTGAATACAAGAAACTGCCCATTTACTGATTTCAACTACCCAATAAAGTGGTCAGAAATTGGCAATTTGGCCAATTTCTCACAAATTAAAAAAGATGCCAATTTCAAAATAGGGTCCAGAATAAACAATGCAGACATTCTTGGCACTACAATAACATATCCTCTGTTCATTAGTCATGTAGACAGCCTGTACTGTCTGCACAGACAGCCCATGCTGTCTGCCAGCTTAGTTCATATTTCGCACCACTCAAGTGTTGCCCTCTGTAGCCAGGCCTCTCGGTAGGCACGCCAGCCTGTCTGCCCATGCCTCACTCTCACTCTCACAGCGGCCTAGCAGCAAGACACAAGTACTAGTAGCTCTCTCTCGTGGGATGGCCCTTCCCGGGCCATGGGCACAACACAAGCCTGTGTACCCACCACGACATTTCAATAAACTAAGAAGCCTCCGAAGACGTTTATCATTTACCACCCGCTACCAGAACAGCAAATAATCCTTTTATAGTCATGTTTCTAGGCCCCTCATATATTACTCTTGCTTTCTATTTTGATTTTTTATTCACACAAAAAATAGAAGATTTACTGTTATGCAGACTACTGTATTATTTTAAAAATGATATAAATAATAATAGTTCACTAGTGAAAGAATATTAGGCTCCCCAGTTGACGTGTATTGGATATGTGGTGTGTTTTGCTTACTCTTGAACATTGGTAAAAATCAAACATTTCTGCTACTTTGAGCTCAATTTCAAGATTTTTTCATCATGAAACTAATCAAAATCATCTCTGTTTCTGTAGTACATATTCCATTCTATCAAGTGAGACCAAGAAAACAAGAATACAACCATAAATACCATACGAAAATACACCTCAGAGTCGGCATTTTATTCCAAAAACACGGTTGGAGTTTTTTTTTCTCATTATGCACTGCGTGCTGCAGAATTTTTTTATACAGTGCACCCTGACCACACAGACCCATTCTCTCACATGTGGGCCTACCAACTTTCTCCTGCTTGATTTGAAGCTGCTAGAATTATTGAGTATCTATACGTCCAAAACACTGGCTCGTAAGACATATATATATGGCCAAAACAGTCAAAGGGTTAATGATGCTCCTTGGCAGTTTGTTCCACTCATCTACAACTTTATTACCAGACCATTGCTTTCCTCTCTTCTTTCTAAATCTGAATTTATTCTCCCCATTGTCATATTGCAGTCAAATCATATCTAGTTATGCTTGCTCTAGTTAATGAAAAGTTCATATTTTTAATTCAGACAGAAAATTTATTGTTTTATAGAAATACAGTTTAATTCAAGGAAATGAGATTTATCAGTTTATTGTACATGGCATAGGTCAGTCAGGCAGGACGTACACAACTAGTGAAGCCTGGAACAGTGGTAGCTGGAACCAGTGGAGTGATGACTGCTGGAAAAGCTGTGACCCGTACTGTGACAGACAGAGAAGTGGCTGCACTTCTCAAGCAACAGCATCTCAACAAGTCAGGACAAGTTGCTCAGGTGAGACTTGCAGATATTTTTCCGATATAATATTGTACAGGTCCACATCCCTTTACAGTGGACCCCCGGTATTCGATATTAATCCGTTCCTGAGAGCTCATCGAATACCGAAAATATCGAAAAGTGAATCAATTTTCCTCATAAGAAATAATGGAAATCAAATTAATCCGTGCAAGACACCCAAAAGTATGAAAAAAATAAATTTTACTACATGAAATATTAATCTTAATGCAATAGAATAATTACAATAACAATAAAATAATTGACACTTACCTTTAATGAAGATCTGGTGATGATTGATGGGATGGGAGGAGGGGAGATGTGTTAGTGTTTAGAAGGGGAATCCCCTTCCATTAGGACTTGAGGTAGCAAGTCCTTTTCCGGGGTTACTTCCATTCTTCTTTTAATGCCACTAGGACCAGCTTGAGAGTCACTGGATTTCTGTCGCACAACATATCTGCCCATAGTGGCCTGTACCTCCCGTTCCTTTATGACATTCCTAAAGTGTTTCTCAACATTGTCAGTGTAATAGTCACCAGCACGGCTTGCAATAGCTGTGTTAGGGTGATTGTCATCAAAAAAGGTTTGCACTTTAAGCCACATTGCACACATTTCCTTAATCTTTGAAGTAGGCAACTTCTTCAATTTCTCTATCCCCTCCTCCGAAGCAGTTTCCTCAAGTGTGGCCTCTTGCTGTTGAAGATGATCTATCAGCTCATCAGTGGTTAGTTCTTCATTGTCCTCTTCCACCAACTCTTCCACATCCTCCCCACTAACCTCCAACCCCAAGGACTTCCCCAATGCCACAATAGATTCCTCAACTGGCATAGGATTCTCAGGGTTAGCCTCAAATCCTTCAAAATCCCTTTTGTCTACACATTCTGGCCACAGTTTTTTCCAAGCAGAGTTCAAGGTCCTCTTAGTCACTCCCTCCCAAGCTGTACCTATAAGGTTTATACAATTGAGGATATTAAAGTGATCCTTCCAAAACTCTTTTAGAGTCAGTTGAGTTTCTGTGGTCGCTACAAAGCACTTTTGAAACATAGCTTTTGTGTACAGTTTCTTGAAGTTGGAAATGACCTGCTGGTCCATGGGCTGCAGGAGAGGAGTGGTATTAGGAGGCAAAAACTTGACCTTAACCCTTTGACTGTTTCAGGCCCCTTTCTGAAACTGTCATTCTATGTCGCTAAATTTTTGAAAAAAAAAATTATTTTTCTTATGAAATAATAGAGAATCTTTTCCCGATGGTAATGACATTAAAAGTTCGAAATTTGGTCGAAAACTCATGGAATTACGCTCCTGCAAAGTTAGCGGTCTCAGCGACATATGCGTATCGGCATTTTCGCCGAATTTGAGCCCTATTTTCAGCCAATTCCGTTTTTCCAGTTGACCAAACTCATAGCTATTTCTTTAGAAGTCCATTTTATCTATCAGCTGAGTACAAGAAACCGCCCATTTACCAATTTGGACTACCCAATATTGTGGTCAGAAATTGGCAATTTGGCCAATTTCACGCAAACTAAAAAAGGTGCCAATTTCAAAATAGGGTCCAGAATAAACAAGGTAGACATTCTTGGCACTAAAATAACATATCCTCTGTTCATTAGTCACATCTCTAGGCCCCTCTTATATTATTATTATTGCTTTCTATTTTGATTTTTTATTCATACAAAAAAATACAAAATTTACTGTTATGCAGACTACTGCATTATTGTAAAAATGGTATAAATAATATCAGTGCACTAGTGAAAGAATATTAGACTCCCCAGTTGACGTGTATTGGACGTGTGGTGTGATTTGTTTACTCCTGAACATTGGTAAAAATCGAACATTTCCGCTACTTTGAGCTCAGTTTCAAGGTCGTTTTCATCGTTAAAGTAATGAGAATCATCTCTATTTCTGAAATATGTTTTCCATTTTATCACCTAAGACCATGAAAACGCAAATACTTCAATAAATACTATACGAAAATACACCTCAAAGTCGGCATTTTAATCCAAAAAAACGAGCCGAGTTTTTTTTTTCTCATTACGCACTGTGTGCTGCAGGATTTTTTTTATGTGGTGCACACTGACCACACAGACCCATTCTCTCACATGTAGGCCTACCAGCTTTCTTCCGCTTGATTTGAAGCCGCTAGAATTATTGAGTATATATACGTCAGAAACACTGGCTCATAAACAGTCAAAGGGTTAATGAAGCTCATGTCCCCAGAAAGTCGCTCTGCCAAGTCTGTAGGATGACCAGGGGCATTGTCTAATACCAGGAGGCACTTAAGGTCTAATTTCTTCTCAATTTGGTAATTTTTCACAGTGGGGGCAAATGCTTGGTGTAACCAGTCATAAAAAAAGTCCCTAGTGACCCATGCCATATTGTTTGCCCTCCACAGCACACACAAATTAGCCTTGAGGACATTGTTTTTCCTGAACACTCTGGGAGTTTCAGAGTGATACACCAATAAAGGCTTCACTTTGCAATCACCACTAGCATTGGCACACATGAGAAGAGTAAGCCTGTCTTTCATAGGCTTATGTCCTGGGAGTGCCTTTTCCTCCTGAGTAATGTAGGTCCTGCTTGGCATTTTCTTCCAAAACAGGCCTGTTTCGTCGCAATTAAACACTTGTTCAGGTTTCAAGTCTTCACTGTCTATGTAATCCTTGAATTCCTTCACATATTTTTCAACTGCTGTTTGGTCCGATCTGGCAGCCTCACCATGCCTAATCACACTATGTATGCCACTACGATTCTTAAATTTTTCAAACCAACCTTTGCTGGCCTTAAATTCACTCACATCACCACTAGTTGCAGGCAATTTCTTTACCAAATCGTCATGCAACTGCCTAGCCTTTTCACAAATGATCGCTTGAGAGATGCTATCTCCTGCTATCTGTTTTTCATTTATCCACACCAATAACAGTCTCTCAACATTTTCTAACACTTGCGGTCACTGTTTTGTAATCACAGTTGCACCTTTTGCAAGAGCAGCTGCCTTGAGTGCCGTTTTCCTGGTCACTATAGTAGAGATGGTTGATTGGGGTTTATTATACAACTTGACCAGCTCCGACACACGCACTCCACTTTCGTACTTTGCAATTATCTCTTTCTTCATTTCATAGATCATTAGTGCCTTTTTTCTCGAAGGGTTGGCACTAGAAGCTTTCTTGGGGCCCATGGTGACTTATTTTGCAGAAACAAGCACCAAACACAGTGATAATATGGATAATATGGAATGTACTGAATGTATCCTTAGATGCGCGCACTGTGGCTGGCTTGTAAACACTGGCACACATGGGGCAGTTCAGGCCACACGTGGAGACGTCTCGTACGAATCGTATCGAATACCGGGTTTTCAATTGAATACCGAGGCAAATTTTTTGCGATATAATGCATCGAATACCGGATTTATCGAATACCGATGCCATTGAATACCGGGGGTCCACTGTATTTGAAATTCTGAAATTCGAAAAGTTCTGAAAACCGAAGTTTTTTCATGGAGTGTGGAGCATTAGTCATCTCTGCATAACTCCAATTCTGCCATGTGGCGGCGTGACTCAGCACTGACAGCCAGAGTGGCAGGCGTCAGTTGTGTTTCAGCGATTGTAGTGTTCACACGTGCGTCTGCTGTTCGCTGATATTTTGTTTTTGCTTTTTATTTTGTGACTGTGTTTAATTTCACTGTGAAAATGTCAAAAAGAGCAGCAGATACCCCTATGGGTAACAGTGAGAAAAAGAAAAGGAAGCATCTGACATTATCAATAATGCAGAAAGTAGAGTTACTGCAGAAGCTTGATAGTGGTGTGTCAGTGCTGCATCTTACTGAAGAATATGGTGTTGGAACTACCACTGTTTATGATTTAAAGAAACAGAAAGACAAGTTACTGAAGTATTATAGTGACAGTGATGACCCAAAACTAATGAAAAATAGGAAAACACTGCATAGGACAAAAAGTGAAGAGATCTTGACTATGCACAGCTCCAGTTCCCTAGATCAAGAGCCCCCTCACCAAGTAACCTCCCTTGAGGGGAAAGTATGCATCCTGAAATTTCATTCGTATTCAGAAGCAAAAAATCGACGGAATGACGGTTCGTATCCTGAAAGGTTCTCCTGGTGGGGCGTACATAAGCCGAGGTTTCACTGTATTTCTTTTATCGATATATTACTCTATAAATAAACCATAGTAGTATTTGTAGTCTCTGTTTATCCCACTTAGTGTGAGTATTCATATGTTTTGCTGCAGTGTTAATGGTTGATTATGGGGTGCTGCCCTAGACCCCACCTTCATTCTGAAATTAAAAAACTGAAATTTGAAGCAATACTGGCTCCAAGAGTTTTGGATAAAGGGATGTGGACCTGTGTTTATTATTATTCTTTTTGTTAACTTGACATTCGCATACAGTACCTAACATTCACTTACAGTATGTGTCCATCAGACAAAAATAACTCACACATAGGGTGTTTTATTCCAGTCACTGTATTGTGTCTTTTTATTCTTTATATCAGTCATACAGTATACTGAACAATCATGTACATATATTACTTGACACTCATGTACAGTACTTGACATTTATGTATGGTACTTTACATTAACAAATTTTAAAGGTCTGTTCTTTTCTGGCTTGTTGATACCATTTCTACTATAATATACATAATGTCCATTCAGCTTAAAGCCGTTGAATTCTTTTAAGATTTTTTTCAGATTCTCTTCTACTTGGTGCACAAAAAATAATTAGTATTGACTGCACTGTTGCTTTCTACAGACATTTCTAATAAATATCTTTCAACCAGTATGTTAACTGGTACAATAAAACTTGTTGAAGTATTTTGTCCAAGCCTCACTCATTGTCATGAATAATAAATATTTAATGTTTATTCAGCATTGTATTATTTGACTGTTCTTGTTCCTATATCTTTTATTTTTTGTATATTTAAAAACTCAACCACTGCATGCTTGATTAAATCAGAATATGCATTATGTATTGTTGGGGCAGGTGCAAGTACCCTCTGCACAGCTCTTGGCTGGACTTCAAGTTCAGAGTGGTGTAAGTGGGAGTGGCATGCCAGTGGCTACATTAGTCAAGACAGTCAGTGCTCCTAGTACACTGGTACACACACCAACAACCGTAACTCTTCCTGTGTCTGCTATTAATGTGACACTCCCTCAAGCTAGAGTTACCACTGCAGCTACCGTCGCCAAAGCTGCCACCACCCAACAAGTTAGTTACTAAGCCACACTTATTACTGCACTCTTAAATTTATGAATAAAAGAAGAATAGTGTAACTTACCAGTCTTTGGCATTTAATTAGTGTTTATGATTTTATTATATATTGGTAAATTTATAACCATTATAATATCTCAAATATTTTATCAACAATTTTTTCTACAGACTGTGCGAAATATTCCTTTACCACAACAGCTATTGGCAAAACAGAGATCACTGATGGGAGTTAAAGGTGCTGTTGGGTTACAACTGGGCAGTAAGACTGTAGGCAGCACTGGACTTAACACTGTGCAAATAGTACAAGGTGGTGGTCAGAAACAGATGTCACATGTTACAGTACAGCAAGCATTTAAACAGGTGCCTCAACAGACCATCCAACACATTACACAGGTTTGTGAAAGCTGTATATGATAGCCTTAATTGTCAGTAACCAGATTATTGAATAATGATTTTTTTTTTTCAAGTCGGCCATCTCCCTCTGAGGCAGGGTGACCCAAAGAGAAAGAAAATCCCCAAAAAGAAAATACTTTCATCATCATTCAACACTTTCACCTCACTCACACATAATCACTGCTTTTGCAGAGGTGCTCAGAATACAACAGTTTAGAAGTATATACGTATAAAAATACACAATATATCCCTCCAAACTGCCAATATCCCAAACCCCTCCTTTAGAGTGCAGGCATTGTACTTCCCACTTCCAGGACTCAAGTCCGGTTATATAAAATAACCGGTTTCCCTGAATCCCTTCACTAAATATTACCCTGCTCACACTCCAACAGATCGTCAGGTCCCAAATACCATTTGTCTCCATTCACTCCTATCTAACACGCTCACGCACGCTTGCTGGAAGTCCAAACCCCTCGCCCACAACACCTCCTTTACCCCCTCCCTCCAACCTTTTCGTGGACGACCCCTACCCCGCCTTCCTTCCCTTACAGATTTATATGCTCTCCATGTCCTTCTACTTTGATCCATTCTCTCTAAATGACCAAACCACCTCAACAAACCCTCTTCAGCCCTCTGACTAATACTTTTATTAACTCCACACCTTCTCCTAATTTCCACACTCCGAATTTTCTGCATAATATTTACACCACACATTGCCCTTAGACAGGACATCTCCACTGCCTCCAAACATCTCCTCGCTGCAGCATTTACAACCCAAGCTTCACACCCATATAAGAGTGTTGGTGCCACTTTACTTTCATACATTCACTTCTTTGCCTCCACATATACCTCAATGCACCACTTACCTTTTTTCCTTCATCAATTCTATGATTAACCTCATCCTTCATAGATCCATCCGCTGACCCGTCAACTCCCAAATACAGTGGACCCCCGCTTAACGATCACCTCCAAATGCGACCAATTATGTAAGTGCGTTTGTACGTGTATGTTTGGGGGTCTGAAATGGACTAATCTACTTCACAATATTCCTTATGGGAAAAAATTTGGTCAGTACTGGCACCTGAACATACTACTGGAATGAAAAAAGTTCGTTAACCGGGAGTCCACTGTATCTGAAAACATTCACTTCTTCCATACTCCTCCTCGCCAATTTGATATCCAATTTTTCTTTATCTAAATCATTTGATATAATCATCACCTTACTCTTTTCTATGTTCATTTTCAACTTTCTACCTTTACACACTCTCCCAAACTCGTCCACTAACCTTTGCAATTTTTCTTTAGAATCTCCCATAAGTACAATATTATTGGCAAAAAGTAACTGTGTCACTTCCCATTTTGTAATTGATTCTTCATAATTTAATCCCACCCATCTCCCAAACACCCTAGCATTTACTTCTTTTACAACCCCATCTATAAATATATTAAACAACCATGGTGACATTACACATCCCTGTCTAAGACCTACTTTTACTGGGAAGTAGTCTCCCTCTCTTCTCCACACCCTAACCTGAGCCTCACTATCCTCATAAAAACTCTTTACAGCATTTAGTAACTTACTACCTGTTCCATATACTTGTAACATCTGCCACATTGCTCCCCTAACCACTCTATCATATGCCTTTTCTAAATCCATAAATGCAATAAAAACTTCCCTAACTTTATCTAAATACTGTTCACATATATGCTTCAATGTAAACATTTAATCTACACATCCCCTACCCACTCTAAAACCTCTTCGCTCATCCGCAATCCTACATTCTGTCTTACATCTAATTCTTTCAATAATAACCCTACCGTACACATTTCTATCATGATCCCATCAGTTCCAGCTGCTTTACCCCCTTTCATTCTACGTAATGCCTCACGCACCTTCCCCTTACTCACATCCTGATCTTCACTCCTAAAATATGGTATACCTCCCTGGCCAATGCATGAAATTGCTGCCTCCCTTTCTTAATCGACATTTAAAAGTTCCTCAAAATATTCCCGCCATCTACCCAATACCTCCATCTCCCCATCTACTAACTCCCCAGCTCTGTTTTTAACTGACAAATCCATTCATTCCCTAGGCTTTCTTAACTTGTTTAACTCCAAAATTTTTTTCTTATTTTCATTAAAATTTCTTGACAGTGTCTCTCCCACTCTATCATCTGCTCTCCTTTTGCACTCTCTCACCACTCTCTTCACCTTTCTTTTACTCTCCATATACTCTGCTCTTCTTAAAGCACTTCTGCTTTGTAAAAACCTCTCATAAGCTACCTTTTTTTCTTTTATCACACCCTTTACTTCATCATTCCACCAATCACTCCTCTTTCCTCCTACACCCACCCTCCTATAACCACAAATTTCTGCCCCACATTCTAATACTGCATTTTTAAAACTATTCCAACCCTCTTCAACTCCCCCACTACTCATACTTGCACTAGCCCACCTTTCTGCCAGTAGTTGCTTATATCTCACCAGAACTTCCTCCTCCCTTAGTTTATACACTTTCACCTCTCTTACTTGTTGCCATTTTCCTCTTGTCCCATCTACCTCTTATTCTAACTGTAGCTACAACTGAATAATGATCCGATATATCAGTTGCCCCTCTATAAACATGTACATCCATGAGCCTACCCGTCAACCTTTTATCCACCAATACATAATCTAACAAACTACTTTCATTACATGCTATATCATACCTTGTATATTTATTTATCCTCTTTTTTCATAAAGTATGTATTACTTATTACCAAACCTCTTTCTCACATAGCTCAATTAAAGGCTCCCCATTTTCATTTACCCCTGGCACCCCAAATTTACCTCCACAACATTTTTACCCACTTTAGCATTGAAATCCTTAACCACAAGTACTCTCACACTTGGTTCAGAACTCCCCACACATTCACTCAACATTTTCCAAAAATCTCTCTCTCTCTCCTCTACACCTCTCTTCTCCAGGTGCATATACACTTACTATAACCGACTTTTCACATCCAACCTTTATTTTACTCCACATATTCCTTGAATTAATACATTTATACTCCCTCTTTTTCTACCATAGCTTATCCTTCAACATTATTGCTATTCCTTCTTTAGCTATAACTATTTAAAACCCCTGACCTAATCCCATTTATTTCTCTCCACTGAAACTCTCCCACCCCTTTCAGCTTTGTTTCACTTAAAGCCAGGACATCCAGCTTCTTCTCATTCAAAACATCTACAATCATCTCTTTCTTGTCATTCACACAACATCCACGCACATTCAGACATCACACTTTGACAATTTTCTTCTTTCTTCTTATTCTTTTTAGTAATCATTACAGGAAAAGGGGTTACTAGCCCATTGTTCCCGGCCTTTTAGTTGACTTTTACAACACGCATGACTTATGGAGGAAAGATTCTTATTCCACCTCCCCATGGATATAAAAGGAAAAGTAATAAGACCAAGAACTATTAAGATAAAATCAAAGAAAAGTCATATGAGTGTGTATAAATAAACGTGTACATGTATGTGTAGTGTGACCTAAGTGTTGATAGCAATACTGAAATTTGCATGTTTATGGCAAACCTAAAATCCTACCATCATGTTTATTCGTTTTAAACTCTCCCCTGCAAAGTAGTACACTTAACCAACTCACTACCTATCATTAAAAAATATACAATCATCTTTCTGTTTTACACTACTCAGCACAGTAGACATCACCTTTGAAATTTTCTGTCTAAACTCTATTACTATTAGTTAATAACGTAAAATTATATGCCCATGTTGGGCTTTAGTTGACATTGTTAAAACTATTTAAAAATTACTTATTCAACAGATAGTACAATATGGAATTATTTATACAGGCCAAGAACTATTAATGATTAATCAAGATAAATATGATTAGGCTATAAAACAGTTACATTATGTTAGATTATTTAAGTTATGAGTAGTAACGTACCTAAATTGTGTTTAAACTAGTTTAAAGCCAAATAACATTAATACAAACCTTTGTTACAATATTGCGACATATACTGGGTGTGCAATATTACAACATACTACCTATAACAATACTAAATATGTATAGTAATTACAATTTTTTATAATCACAATTTACTCTATGTGATTATTTTAATTAATCAACTTATATTATCGAAATAGCTTGGTAATGTTAATTAATGGAAATTTAGAGTCGATACAGTACATTAAGTTAACTTTTTTAAAAATTGCTTACAACATATGGGTAGAATGAATATTTAAGTGTCGAAATTTAACCTAATAGTAAAAAACTAACATGAAATTTAAAATTTACAAACAATTTAGCATCTTATTAAAAATTCTCTAGTATGTGTTGACCAGTTGGTTTGCACTGATGTAAGTCGAAATGTGGATAAGTCAACTTTTGAATGCGCATACTGGTAGAGCATAATGTCAAATTTCTTCCTATGTAAACTCACTACTATAATACCATTGTATGTCATCCTGTATTTCATTTTTACATAATTTACTCTCTAGTAAGTGACTCTCTACATGTATATATCCTGTCTTGTCTGTAGTCTTGTCTTCCTGTTCTCTCTCGCTACGTTCATGTATACTGTATCTGATTGTTGTGTGATGCTACTCACTCTGTCTCCTCATGTATTTTTACTTACCCGTAAAGTACCTCTGCAGTGTATCTCTCTCTGTATTGCTTATCTTGTATCTCTCTTGTCTCTCTGATCTGTGTTCCGTATGCTGCTGCTGTGTGGCTCGGTGTATGGGGCTTGGCTCGTGTGGCTCTCTCCATGCTCCGTACTCTCCTACTTCTCTCTGTATCTCTCTCTATCTCTCTCTGTATCTCCTCTCGATCCTCTCTCTGTATCTCTCTCTCTCTGATCTCTCTCTCTCGTATCTCTCTCTCCTCTCTCTGTATCTCTCTCTCTCTCTCTTGTACTCTCTCTCTCTCTCTGTATCTCTCTCTCCTCTCTCTCGTAATCTCTCCTCTCTCTCTCTGTATCTCTCTCTCCTCTCT